ATGTTACGTATTAAGAGTTCATATTTTCATATACATAAAATATTAGTAGCCGCATTAACTGGTTATTGCTACATACATTCGTTATAATATACACATATATCAGTCGTTCAAAATACCTTATTCACTAACGAAACCTAAATACTCCGTTAATTTCAGTTATTCATTAATGACTATTGAGTACAATCTGTAGATTGACATATTTTGAAAAATAATGTACTCCATTTATCGGAGCCTCAGTGCACAGAATAAATATTAAATAAATGATTTAAAAAGTGATAATCTTAACCTTTGAAATTAATCATAAATCTTTAATAATACTTCAGTAATAACGGGTAAGTGTTTTGTTTGAAATTTCAAGACTTAATTAAAAGAAATATAACTAACATCTCTCTATTGGCTTACTCAGAACTTTTGTTCATAGATTAACTTAAATTGCAATAAGGTTGCTAAGACACATCGATTTCAAAATATCATAAAACTATCGTATTAATTCATTTGATTGAAAGTTCTCCATTAGCAAGTTCTCGCATTTCAACTAATATTCACTAAAGCACAGAAGAATTGTCTTTTAAATTAATTAGTCAGGAAACTATTATACATTCTAGGTATAAACCTTAAAGTGGACAAATTATACTATTCGTCCTTAGATTTACACAAAGTTGTTGAAAGACAAATCATGAGTTCAACCAAAACTGAAGCATCTAAATTCTAATGCACTACAAGATAACCGATATTCGATCTGAATGCATGTATATTGTGTTAATAGACAATGTTTTTAAAGCTCACAAAAGGTTAATGAGATAATAATCTCATTTTATCAAAGCAGTTTGAATGTAGTTTCTAAGATAATTCATAAAGATGAAGACGGATAGCAAATCATTAGTAATGAACTCGCAACACAACGATGAGACACAAAATAACAGGTATTGACGATTGTTACTACTTAAATAGAGTTTTCAAGCTTTATACTAAGAACCAACCAGAATTCAGACAAAATTCTTGAATAATGAGAGCTTATACACACTGTACTTATAAATCGTGTAATATATGTTATCGTCGTAAAATGTGTTAATGTTAAAGTGGGGAGTACATTCTTAAGGAAAAGACAGTATATTTTTACTTATGTGCGTGGTCTAGTATTTCTCCTCAAGTAAAATAACTTATTTGCATTCCGTCATATCATGGCAGCCTCAAAAGCAAGTAGGTTTCAGGGTATCAATGCTCTAGAAAAGAATATGTAGCGTGGTCCTTGTAACTACAAGCATTGTGAATGGGATGCATCAAGGTATGTTTATGTTTCGTACGTGACATAATGTTCTAACCATCAGTTGCGTTAACGATGGAGTAGAAATGTATAACACTTTAAATTATTCACAATCGTTGAATGATCAACACACTAATTATGCCCAGAGCAAATCTTCAACTTCATATCAACTTGAAGATCCCTGATTAAACTGACTAAATGGGAATCACGCATACAATCCGAACATAACAGTATAGTAGTAAACAAAGAGCTTATCAATTATTCTTGTGACAAGTCTCTGCTCGCAGATGGTTCATATGGACACACGTTTTACCAGAGAATCTAACTTATGATAACTGGAACTCAACATTAGTCATTCTCATTACTATCCTCATGAGATGCACTAACGGATGCTATAGAAACCATGTCTTCATACCAGAGAAAACTCATTTCGGACTTTGACGACATACCATTTATACTCTGATTCCATATACCAGTGATTTCAAAACACTTTGAGATCGGACATCACATAGGAAAGCTATTTTTGGATATTATTCCGGAAAATTAAAAGCTTGAAAACACTAGTTACTCGAATCGTAACACCCTTTACTTATTAACCCGTTAAATGGATTATTCCAGTATACCCTAGTGACTTCAGTCGCTTTGAATCGAATAATAGATGAAACGCATATTTCGGTTGAGCATAGTCTCGGAAAAGTTGCTTGAAACAACTACTACTTGGAATCGACACTTACGTACGTTAACTCTTATTCAGATGACTCAGTATACCAGTAGGACTTCAATAATGCTTGAGATCGGATCAATAATAATGAAATGCATAGAATACATATTACAACTTTTCCACTGGATCCCACTTTGGATCAGATTTTATTTGCTACAGACTAAAATCCAACTTATCGTAAGTTACGAATAAATTTTCTGATTCAATACAGATTTATTATGAAATCATATACTGAAATTATGAGAATTGTGTTATAGGTTGGGTCGCATTATCCGACACAGTTGATTTGAAGTGAAATGTTCGAAAATAAATTGTCGACTTAGACGTTCGACTTATGCATCAAAGTCATTCTATAATGCCAATAGTGATCTTTAATACTTGATATCAGTAATTCTAATATAATTACTTGTTAATTAAAATGGTTTAGTCAGCTATCATTTATTATATAGTAGTCAGACATATATCTCGTTGTACTAACATATTAAATGAATTAACAGACGCACGTTAGTAGATTAAAGAAACAGTATTAATATTCGATAATAATTAGCTCAGTACCTCACTTACAGTATCCTGTCATCTCACAAAGTCAAACCGATCCTACCGCTGAACTGCTGCAGAATAGCTGACGCACTTGCTGGGATGTAGAGTTCACTGGCAAAATTGAAATTGCGGGGTGTTATTATCATTGATGAGTACTTGGAACGATTGAATTGGTTTGTCTACCGAAATATCTGTCTAAGATCTGTTGAACTTAATTCGACCAGTATGTTACCGCAAGTTAGTGCTCTGATAAGCTCGGTCTTTGCTATAGTAGGATCTGAAATATTTAAATTGTTTTGAACAACCGGAATGGTTACCGTATTAGGATTACGATGCGCTTATATTGATAGAGGTGTTAAGGATCACCGAGCTTTGTCTGACTGGTAAGCTTAGAATTGACAGTCGCTAGGACAGATAAAGTCCTGGGATCGACTGGATTTTTATTTTTCAGATTTGACTCGCCTAGGTCAACTGGTGTTGTGACAAGTGCATTTATCTGTGTTGTAACGCTGAATCTTGGAGATATTGTGGCCTCTATTGGCGCTTTAGTTTCAAATGTACATAGTGCTCCTCATTTCCAGTTACTGTAGTTTCATAATAAATCTCTGTTATTGAATCAGAAAATTATTCGTAGACATTACGAATGAAGATTCTCTGAATTATTTGAGTCTGCTAGCAAATAAGAATTATCTGAGAAATTGGACAGTGGAATAGTTTGTAATAGTAGTGTTTCTATGCGTTTCATCTATTATTGATCCGATTCCAAAGCGATTATTGAAGTCCACTGGTATATTGAATCATCTTAAATAACTGGAGAAGTCACGTAAGTGTCGATCTCGAAGTAGTAGTAGTTGTTTCAGAAGTTGATTTTCCGGAGCTATTGTATCCAAAGAAATATGTTTTATCTAATATAGATCCGATCTAAAGCGATTATTGAAGTCCACTGGTTATACTGGAATCATCCGATATAAATCGGAGAATGTCACGTAAGTGTTCGATTCCAAGTAGTAGTAGTTGTTTAGATTGATTTCGAGTATTGTATCCAAAGAAATATGCGTTTCATCTATTATTGATCCGATTCAAAGATTATTGAAGTCCATTGGGATTCCAGTATACCAGTGGACTTCAATAATCGCTTTGAGATCGGATCAATAATAGATGAAACGCATAGAAACACTACTATTACAAACTATTCCACTGATCCCAATTTCTCAGATAATTCTTATTTGCTAGCAGACTCAAATAATTCAGAGAATCTTCATTCGGTAATGTCTACGAATAAATTTTCTGATTCAATAACAGAGATTTATTATGAAACTACAGTAACTGGAAATGAGGAGCACTATGTGACATTTGAAACTAAAGCGCCAATAGAGGCAAATCCTACAATATCTCCAGACAGTTCAGCGGTTACAACACAGATAAATGCACTTGAATCCGACACACCAGTTGACCTGAGCGAGTCAAATCTGAAAAATAAAAATCCAGTCGATCCCAGGACTTTATCTGATCCTAGCGCACTGTCAATTCTAAGCTTACCAGTCGAACAAAGCTCACCAGTGATCCTTAACACCTCTATCAATATAAGCGCATCAAGTAATCCTAATACGGTAACCATTCCGGTTGTTCAAAACAATTTAAATGTTTCACCAGATCCTACTATAGCAGCAAGACCGAGCTTATCAGATGAGCATAACTTGCCAGTAGGCTCCAACATACTAGTCGAATTAAGTTCAACAGATCTTAATGCAGCAAATATTTCAGTAGACAAAACCAATTCAATCGTTCCAAGTACTACATCTGATAATAACACCCCAGCAATTTCAATTTTGCCAGTGAACTCTAACATCCCAATAAGTGCGTCAACTGATCCTACTACAACAATTCCTGTAGAAGAGTCTAATACCATCGTTCCAAGTGCTTTATCCGATCCCAGCGCACCAGCAAGTCCAAGCTTACCAGTTGAACATAACTCACATGTGGAGCCTAATAACTCGACGAAATTAAACTCGTTTACTGATCCTAATACGGGAACGATTCTGGGGGATAATACCAGTTTAAAGCTACCAAGTGCTTCATCTGAACCTAGCACACCATCAAGTTCAACTGATCTGACTACAACAACCATTTCTGTGGAAGAATCCAATACCATCGTTCCAACTGCTTCATCTGAACCTCGCACACCAGCAAGTTCAAATTTACCAGTGAACACTAACATCCTAATCCAATTAAGTGGGTCAAAGGATCTTAATACAGCAAATATTCCGGTGGATAAAACCAACTCAATCGTTCCAAGTGCTTCATCTTCTCCATCGGATAATAACACACCAGTAAGTTCAAGTTTATCAGTGAACACTAACATCCCAATCCAATTAAGTGGGTCAAAGGGTCTTAATACAGCAAATATTCCGGTGGATAAAACCAACTCAATCGTTCCAAGTGCTCCATCTTCTCCATCTGATAATAACACACCAGCAAGTTTAAGTTTATCAGTGAACTCTAATATCCCAATCCAATTAGGTGGGTCAACAGATCCTAATATTCCAGTGGATAAATCTAATTCAATCGTTCCAAGTGCTCCATCTTCTCCATCTGATAATAACACACCAGCAAGTTCAAGTTTATCAGTGAACTCTAATATCCCAATCCAATTAGGTGGGTCAACAGATCCTAATATTCCAGTGGATAAATCTAATTCAATCGTTCCAAGTGCTCCATCTTCTCCATCTGATAATAACACACCAGCAAGTTCAAGTTTATCAGTGAACACTAACATCCCAATCCAATTAAGTGAGTCAAAGGATCTTAATACAGCAAATATTCCGGTGGATAAAACCAACTCAATCGTTCCAAGTGCTTCATCTGCTCCATCTTATAATAACACACCAGGAAGTTCTAGTTTACCAGTGAACTCTAACATCCCAATCCAATTAAGTGGGTCAAAGGATCTTAATACAGCAAATATTCCGGTGGATAAAACCAACTCAATCGTTACAAGTGCTTCATCTTCTCCATCTGATAATAACACACCAGGAGGTTCTAGTTTACCAGTGAACTCTAACATCCCAATCCAATTAAGTGGGTCAAAGGATCTTAATACAGCAAATATTCCGGTGGATAAAACCAACTCAATCGTTCCAAGTGCTTCATCTGCTCCATCTGATAATAACACACCAGCAAGTTCAAGTTTACCAGTGAACTCTAACATCCCAATCCAATTAAGTGGATCAACAGATCCTAATATTCCAGTGGATAAAACCAATTCAATCCTTTCTAGTGCTTCATCTGATCCTAGCATAGCACCAAATCCAAGCTTACCAGTTAAGCATAACTCATCCTTAGATGATGCAAATCAAATTAGCTCAAGTGTTTCAATTGATACGAATGAAATATTAAGACCGAGCCCGTCAGTTGATCTTAGTTCGCCGGAATCCTTAAATAACCCAATCGGTTCAGGTGCTTCAGCTGACTCTAGCATATCAGTAAATCCAACCAAACCGGTTGATGTTAAAATACCAATTGTTGTGACAGTTAACTCAAACTTACCTGCAAATCCTGAAATACCAATCAGTCATATTACTTCAACAAATATTAATCATGTGAGACCAAGCTCATCAGTTAGACCAAACACCTTAATTGTATCCAAAGGAAACCAATCAAAGGGCATTAATATTCCAACCAACTTTAGTCCTTCTTCGGAACCAAACACACCTTTTGACCACACATCACCAATTCATTCGAGTGTTTTACGCACTAGCTTTACAAAATTGTATCTACACTCTCGTAATAAGGGAAGCAACGCTAATGGAGGACCTGATACTGGTTTGTTACTTTTACCAAAGCAAACTATTGCATCTAGCAATTCAGCATTGTCCAAAAAGCCTATCCATCAGGAAACTATAGAAACAAAGTCGAGTGAGGTGAACTCTTCTAAATCTGGTATTAAAGATGAGGACTCTATTGAAGAAGAATCAAAGAGCAACAGTAAAAAGTCGAAAAGGCAAAAGGTTTCCAGAGATAATAAGCACAATCAAGAAACAGAAGAAAGAGAATCAAGTGAAATTGATTTTGCCGAAAAAAATCAAAACAAGGATTCCTCCGTGGAAAACAAATCTGGAGCAAATAGTAAAGAATCAGAGGGTAGTAAAGACGAAGAGAAAAAAGTTAAAGTTGAACGCAAGCCTGATGACGAGGACGACGAAAGTTCATCAAGTGAGCAAAAGGAATTAATTAAGAAAATAGTAAAGAAACTGAAAGATAGGAAATGTGACGAAGATGATATATACCCAGACCCTAAAGATTGCAAAAAATACTACCGATGTGTGAAAAAGGAACACAAGACCAGGATAACTCATTTACGCTGCGAAAGTGGTGATCGTTTTGACTCAGACAAACTTAAATGTATAGACAAGCGGAAGGCCAAGTGTTTATCCAAAGAAGATTTTATAGAAGAGTTCGCTTGAATCCCGTAATAGAAGCCGTCGTCAATGTTGTTAATTTTTTTCAAGATAGTCAACTTTTGAAAGATAGTCCGAAATTCATTAATTACTATCAATTAGATCACTTATGTATACCTAATGTACTTTCGAAAACTTAAACCTGTTACTTTGTCCAAATCACGGTCAATTAAAAATATTAAACCAAAATTACAAACTTGTCTTTTTTTACTAAGTATAAGCAATGACAACGATTACGATTACTATGAATTTAAATAAGTAAGTTCCGAATTCTACAAACCCTTGCACATTGTAAGAATGTGTTACCAATTGCTAGAGGTAATATGTGTGGAAGAGTTGAGATCCGGGTGACTGTCTGTCTGTCCGCCTGTGCCAGCTGTGACTTGAGTAAAAATTGAGAAATCTTGATAAAACTTGGTACACATGTTTCTGGACGCCGTAAGATGGTTGGTATTGCAGATGGGCGTAATCGAACCATTACCATGCCCACAAAACGCTATTAATCGAAAACCAATAAATTGCCATAGTTAAGCTCCACAATAAGATACCAGACTGTTATTTGGTATAAAGAATCACATCGGCACCGGCAATTGAAAATATGTTTACTAGGTGGGCGTGGTCCCAACCTCTAATGAGCTTAATGTGCATATCTCCTAAACCGCTTAAGCTATTACAACCAAAATTTACTCAGGACACATATTTTTAGAACCCCTATCGACAGTGTGAAAATGGGTAAAATCGGGTGATAACCCCGCTCACTTCCCATATAGCGGTTTTGATTAAAACTACTGAAAGTGCAATAACTCATTAAATAAACAAGTCAGAGACGTTGAATTTTACACATAGTATGGCTAAGCTTCATAGGAAGCAAAACAAAAATTGGACAATGGGCGTGGACCGCCCAACTTTAGGGGAAAACCCATATCTCGGGACCTGTTCGACCGATTTCAACCGAATTTGGTATGTAACATTCCTCTGACATTTTTATGTAACAGTGCGAAAATGGGAGAAATCGGACTGCCATATAACACAATTTTAAATTCCATCTGATACTGTCACTTTCTAGTATGCAAATCAAGCAAAAATAAATGTATCGGCATGAAACTTTGAACCTATAATCCCTTCAAAGTATACCCCCTTATGACAAAAATTGTACAAATCGAACCAAAACTGTTCAAGCCCCTAGGTATCGACTATGTGGACCCCAATACATATAGTTGACTTTTTACCGAATATATCAGTAAATGTGTGAGATAATTAATTGAAAATCTGAGAGAATACTTTCCTGATAATAGTATGTCTGTGTGTCAAAAATGGAATGGTTGAATCGAGTCAACATTTCTCCTAGCTCCCATATACCTAATACAAAGATTTTTGAACTTCCAAGTGACTTTATACCGGTAAATACTACTACTGTCAGTCAGTGAGTATTATTTATGTGTATATAAAATTGGTTCAAAATGTGTTCTCGAGTATACCTAAGCAATGCCAAAATTAATGCAATCTGCACCGTTCCTTTCTCTAACGAAAATATATACCCCACATAACGACTTCCGTCTTTCCACCTGGCTTTTAACCGTTTAGGTTGGTCAAAATGTGTGATATTTTAGTAAAATTAACTGAACAAGTTTTCTTAAAATTTGTATGGTTTAGCCCTGAATAACAATGAAATTGGTCTATACATGACAACATTGCTCAATGTGATCAAAAGAGAAAAACTGGTTGCTACGTTGTCACTACGGAAAATCGGCTCGTCGGTCACTAACTGAAGCATAAGAAACGATCTTCAGCCGCCTGGTACAAAAGTGCACAAGAATATTTGTATGTCAGGAGATACGAGGATTCTTTGACGCCCCAAATATCACAAATATTTTTTTTTAATTTTTGTGTGTGTGATTGTAAACGCGTTGGACTTTAACGAATCACGCGTGTCGATACGGTTAGTCAATAAAGTTTAAACTATCGAAGAGCTACTGTACTAATCTGTTTCAATTTAATTTAACTTTACTTTCACGCAGTTTTACACAGTTTTCAACCCCCTCTCTCTTCTATGAGAAATTTGGAAAGAATTACCTTAATGCCTCACCCCGCCCCCTTGATCCCCTCACGTAATTAAAGGACGCTCCCTAAGCTATTAAAATATGATCTAACAATTATAACATACGTACTTGTATATGCATATATGCAAAGGTATATTGTAATAACATTACATTTTGTTTTATTGAAATGATTAGTTGAGTAATATCACGAGTGGTAATACAACAGGCTCATACCTAGGAAAGAAACAATAACAATACATGGTACCGAATTAAGGCTTATTGTAACGAATTATGCAACACTTACCATTCCCAGCTGAATAAAAAACATTTTAATTAAATTAAAAATTTATTACAAGTGAAAAAAGGGAATGCGTCGACAACAGTAAGCGCTGCTACAAAAAGCCGATCACCGTAAATAATTAATCATGAACAAATATTAGCATTCACAAACACCAATTACAATGTAACTACATCATTAAGCAAGTGATACTTACTAAAGTTAAATTACAGTCGACGCTCACAAATTAGAACCTTCAGTAATTCTAATTTCCAGAAATTAGAATCAGATTTTACAATGCCATACATTAAATGTTCTAAAGTTAGAATCGAAAATTCAAATTTCTGAGTGTAGTATTTTGTAGTAGTATCGATAATTGAGCTATTATTTTGTTTGAAAGAGCTAGAAATTTAATAAAATGGTGCAATCATAGTAAATTGATTTTTACTCAGCATATAAGCAGTCTTCTGACTCTCCATATCCACATCGTTGTTTCAGATAAAAAATAAATTAAATAAGTCGCAAATTTAATATATAATTTATTTCTCCAATTTGTACATTATCTTCAGTCGGAGCATGTATAGGCATAGCGGATATTATAGCTTTATAGTAACTGAAGTCTGAAACATATGTTCGTGATTCTAAAAAGTGTATCTGGAGTATAGAGCTTCAATCGTTGTTCTTGATTAGTCGTGGCAATTTTCCAGTCGTTATTCATATCTAAAAAGAATTTTTCACGAAGAAATTGCAGTAGGACGCATCCTCTCAAAATTTACATTAAAGTCAATCAATGGTATGTGAACATCACCCCCGTCAAGGATGTATCGCAACACCTCTGTTGCAGTTCTCTAACGATGATAAAAACGTAAATCGTCATATATTGTAGTTATCCATATAATCCTTCGGTACTAGTTTTAATTCTTTCTAATCATTCACTTAATTGGCAATTATGTTGTCAATAGATAAAAGTATTTATTAAATAATTACCAAAATATTTTCCCGCAACATTAATATATTAATTTCACAAAAACTTTTTCACTATTACCTAATAAATAAAGTATATTTTTCGAATTAACAAAAGTGTTTACGTTTTTATTTACAATGTACATGCTGTTATGCTTCTTCTTCTTAACTCAAAGGAGTTACGTCACAAGATGGCGGTTGGCGTAATCTTGTAATCTAGCATTCTTGGTTCGATGACATATGCTGTTGTCGTAACCTTCTGTACTCTAATGCTTCAGTTAGTGACCGACGCAAAACCGCACACCGCATCAGCCTATCGACCTATCTCATGAGAGCGCAATGTAAATGAATGTCAAACAGCTGACGTACACAATTTCGTTGTTGCCGTACCAAAACCTTTCCCTTCATTGATATTTAAATATTTCATTCAAAATGTATTTTTTTGTGCAAAAAATAAGTAACTACATCGATTTATTTGTTTTAAATTATCAATTGTTATTACAAATGATATGTCCGAGTTATTGTATACTTCTGTTGGTAAGATATCGTTACGACTTGTTAGAACTTTGAAATGGTTTTGTGGGGACCCAACAGATCTGGCAGCTCAATTTCTACAACTTACTCCTAGTTAAACAATCACACAATTTATCCATGGCAAGGATGACATGATGCGAGACTCTCTCATTTTCGCTGATTTTTCTGTTATTCTCTTTCCCTGATTATTAAAATCAGGGGATTTCGAACAGCTGATGTCAAAAAAGGCGGGATGCCAGAAATAAACCCGCTAAAAATAGCTAACAAAAGCAGTGCGAAACGAAATTTCAAGGAACGACACCAATACTTTTGAGTAACGTGCAACTAAATTTTATTTGTTAATTTAATTTAAAACGTTCATCATAAAACCATGATCTTTTATTATGACTTGTATTGTTTCTTTGTTATAATTTTTTTTATTTATATGCTATTTTTTTATGTTATATGAGTTTTTAAAAATTTTAAAAGCTTTTTTTATAATACCCAATCTATTTCCTTTCGACAGTGGCATGATTGGAAAATGTTATAAAAAATGTGGGTTTTGACAGCTCTCTCTCGATTCAAAGAGACTCGCATCATTTCATCCTTGTACATGGCCACGATGCAGACGTCATGGAGCGCGTGCACTACGTAGTCACAAGAACACAGTTTTAATTATAAGAAACTGTTGTTACAAATATTATTAAAATAAAGATATGTCGTAAGTAAGTCTCTACAGTTTTAATTTAGCGATAGCGTCTACACTTTCCTCGCTTACACACATTTGCTTAGCTTCGCACCGATAACTTTTATGAACATACTCATACAAAAGTTCCATCGAACTTTCTGTCAAAACAAATGTCTGACGCAAAGCGAAGCTAAAGTTTATATGAATTGGCCATTCCCTTTCTTTACGAAATTTTATATTGAAAAGGCTGACATTAGCATGAAGTACTTATACCATGATGAAGTAGGCCTTTACTTCTAAAATTGAATTTAGTGCTAGTAACATCGTTAACTTTATCTAATATAAAAATAATCGAGATGACTATTTCAAGGGCTCGCAGTAACGATGGAATTATCCCAAGAATATCTAATTAAAAATTGTGACCAGGCGTCGAAGGACTCAAAAGAGTCTCATTTTTTTTCAAATTCTCTTTTGGTGTCGCTCTGTGCATTCACACGGTCAAAAGAGTCCAGCAACTCGAGTCTAGTTTTTCCAGAGAACTTAAAACAATGAGAAGGTGCAAATTGAATTTGTATGATGCCGATTGGTTGGCTGAAAATTTGAGATCAAGGAGTTCACCACTTTATGTACATTTTGCTGTATTTAACAGAAATGAGAATGTTAACAACGTTCTCTGACAAAATACGTATCTACCAATATAAGAGAAATGAAATGAAATGAATGAGAAAACAAGAATACAAATGCCACTTCACATATGCATGATTATTTTTGCGACATAAACGATTTTATGATGAAAAATTGATAAATTATTATTATTTTGCACAAATGCTACATTGATAAAATGCGAAAGATTATGCAAAAATGATATTTTACTATTTTCATAATTTTCTAATTTCAATTTTACAGAATTAATAATTTATGATGTACATCAATATTTATATTATATAATATAATAATATATTATCAATTATCAATAAATACATGTGAGCGCACTGCTCTATATGGAGTATGTATGTACAAATATGCATATGACCGCGCAAAATAAGTAATGCATACACAAATCTACATACATTTAAGCGTACAAATGTAAGTAACGTCAGCCAATAAGAAAAATACAAACATTGTTGTTACAAAACAACAATTGTCTTAAATAGCATCAGCACCAGAAATCAATATGGCAGCCAAATTGAACAAATCCTAAATTTGTAGTAAATCACACACCAACAACATTTTCATTCATGAACGCTGGCGCACAAGCAATAAGCTAGTTCGTTTCATTCATAAAGCAAACGCCTACCATCTCCCGAGCATGCGTTTGCCTCAAGCGTCTTTTCGCGACGATGGCAAAGCTAAAATCATAAATGAACAAATTTCTGATATTCCTCTAGAAGGGAAAAGTGACAACCCTCAAATATGAGTATTAAATATTTTAGAATAAAAGTGACACATAGTAAATTTGTCGATTTACAATTCAAGAAACTTTTAGAGAAAATATTCAATATTTCTCTGATTTATGTATACAGTAAACCCGGTTAAGTATCACTCCTCCAATTCCTCTTATCTGCCGGTGTCTTGCTGCATCTCACTTTTTTTTTCTTATTTTTTAAAGAAACGGTAATTTTTAAATACATAGAAATAATTTTTTGGTACCACTCGCTTAAGTACACAATCGCTTATGTACTACAAAGCACAAAATCTTGCATCTTTGGTTTTGGCACTTAACCGGGATTGACGTATTTGTCAAAGAATTTACGTAAGTACGTTTGAATTTTTGTACACACATTGACTTTGCACTGCCCATATGCGATGTATGTTTGTAAGAGGTGTATGGACATCTCGGATTTTCTACCAACAACACAATGTTGTGACGCTTTGTCGTCGCGTCAGTCTTCGACAGATTGACTCTTTGACATAAAGCAAAAATGTGTCAACGGAGATTTCACATGAAGTAATGAGTACATATCTACATAAAAATACATACAAATGTGTAAACGACATAATATATGTATGTATGTCCAATCGAGCATCATACAAAATTCAATTGACCTTCTCATTGTTTTAAGTTCTCTGATATATGTATGTCCTGTTACATATGTTTACACATGCATTTGAAAAGAAAAATTGAAGCATGAATGTGAAATACCGACGGCAAAAACCAATTCTGTACTTTATGACTCCATAATGGTGTCAGTACAATTAATGAATTATTTTAAGAAAATATATCAAATACTTTATTAGTAATAATTTAAAGTATTTTGATATATTTCTCATAATAAAGTAAAATGAATATAACATTAAAATAATTTAAAAATAATAAAATAATGTTCAATAAAGGAATATGTTTCAAATAGCATATCATATTCCCAGTTTGGCTACATAGTATATCTCTTCAATATTCGCCGTTTGGTAATGTTAGAGAGCGTATGTTTACAGATTCACCGCTGATATAAAAGCGAAAAATGTTATTTGTTTCTCGTGCATCTGTGGTGAACTCTGATAAATTCCTACAATTGTTCGCTGTCGAACCTGCACCTCTCATTGTTTAAGTTCTCTGGTAGAACAATATGCAAATACAAGTACCTACCGCTAAATAGTTTCAAAGAAATACTAAAGACGGGAATTCCCTAATCACAAGAATGTATTAAATATCCGCTACTAATATTTCAAGACCAAATTTATAATAGGAATTTCTAATCTTTAAGTATTAAAAATTCATAATTCTTTACTCCATAATCTATATCTTAATTTTCTCCTTATTTACAATTTTGAAAATATTTCTATTATTCTATGCATACATATTTGCATATTACATACAAAAATAGATAACAGAATTCAAATTTGCGATCGAATTCATTTGAAACCGAGCGCTCTTGCAACCATTCAAAGGATTTTAAAGAGAAAAGGAATACTGAAAGGGGTAGCAGTGAGCTGCTACCTGAACACAAGGCACGGTCCCTTCGTCTTTCCTCGTCGTCCCTCGCCCACAATAAACTGGTTTGAGACTCTTTTTAGTCCCAATGAAAAGGGCAATATCCTACCGTACGGTCTGTTGAAGTGGACGGTAGAAGCAGAGAACTTAAAACAATGAGAAGGTGCAAATTGAATTTTGTATGATGCTCGATTGCGACATACATATATTATTCGTTTACACATGTATGTATATTTTATGTGATATGTACACTCATTACTTCATGTGAAATCTCCGTTGACACATTTTGCTTTTATGTACAAGAGTCAATCTGTCGAAGAACTGACGCGACGACAAAGCGTCACAACATTGTGTTGTTGGTGAAAATCCGAGATGTGCCATACACACTCTTACAAACATACATCGCATATGGGCAAGTGCAAAGTCAATTGTGTACAAAAATTCAAACGACTTACGTAAATTCTTTGACAAATACAGTCAATCCCGGTTAAGTGCCAAAACCAAAGAGCAGATTTTTGTGCTTGTAGTACATAAGCGATTGTGGTATAAGCGAGTGGTACCAAAAAAATATTTCTATGTATTTAAAAATTACCGTTTTCTTTAAAAATTAAGAAAAAGTGAGATGCAGCAAGACACCGGCAGATAGAGGAATTGGAGGAGTGATACTTAACCGGGGTTTACTGTATACATAAATCAGAGGAATTTGAATATTTCTCTATAAAGTTTCTTGAATTGTAAATCGACAAATTTACTATGTTGTCACTTTTATTCTAAAATATTTTAATACTCATATTTGAGGGTTGTCACTTTTCCCTTCTAGAGGGAATATCAGAAATTTTTCAATTTATGATTTTAGCTTTGCCATCGTCGCGAAAAGACGCTTGTAGGCAAACGCCATGCTCGGGAGATGGTAAGGCGTTTGCTTTTATGAATGAAACGACTTAGCTTATTCTTGTGCGCCAGCGTTCATGAATGAAAATGTTGTTGATGTGGATTTACTACAAATTTAGGATTTGTCAATTTGGCTGCCATATTGATTCTGGTGCTGATGCTATTTAAGACAATTGTTGTTTTGTACAACAATGTTTGTATTTTTCTTATTGGCTACGTACTTACATTTGTACGCTTAAATATGTAGATTTGTGTATGCATTACTTATTTTGCGCGGTCATATGGATATTTGTACATACATACTTACATAAGAGCAGTGCGCTCACATGTATTATTGATAATTGATAATATATTATTATATTATATATAATATAGCTGTATACATAATAGTATTAATTCTGTAAAAATTGAAATTAGAAAATTATGAAAATAGTAAAATATCATTTTGTTAAATCTTTCGCATTTATCAATGTAGCATATTTGCAAATAATAATAATTTATCAATTTTCATCATAAAATCGTTTATTCCAAAAATAATCATGCATAGTGAGTGCATTTGTATTCTTGTTTTCTCTTCATTCATTTCATTTTTCTCTTTATATTGGTAGATACTATTTTGTCAGAGAACGTCGTTAATTCTCATTTCTGTTAAATAACAGCAAAACTGTACATAGTGTGAAATCCTTGATCTCAAATTTTCAAGCCAACCAATC